GGAAGGAGCAGAGGGGTGAGCACCTGCCGGCCGGCCACCTGCCCGCCCTGGCCCGGCCCCCGCTGAGCCGTGTCTGTCCCCCTCCCAGAGAAGGAAGCGAGGATCGCGAAGGAGAAGGAGCTCGGCGTGTACAAGGAGCACAAGGTAGACCCGGCCGCGGGGGTGGGGGGGGCACTGTGCAGGGCGCGGCTCTGGAGGGCAAGGGGTTGCCGCCTGAGGGTGAGTGCACGCCAGGGCTGGGTGCAGGGAGGTGGGTGTGCGCGGCCAAGCGAGCACTGACCCTGGCCGTGCGGTGCTCTCTGTGCGCATCGAGGGGTCGGGGGTGGCAGGAGCCGTGACGGGCCCCAGCATTGAGCAGTGCCTTCCTCAGCCAGCCTGGGACGTGCAGGCTTGTGCTCATGCTGCAGAGGGTGGGGGTGCCCAAGCGCCCCACCCTGGGGTGAGGCCTGAGGGCGGACCCCACATCCTGAAACTGCCATGGGGAGAGTTGGACAGGACCCTGCCCACCGCACGCCCCTCAGCGCCCAGCCGGTCGGACTCAGGCCGTCTCGTGTCTCTGCCAAGCCCAAGAAGTCTGGCAAGCGGCGGGAGCCCATCTTGGCCAGCACAGCAGGGGAGGCCATCGAGAAGATGCTGGAGCAGAAGAGGATCTCCAGCAAGATCGACTACAGCGTTCTGCGGGGCCTGGACAGTAAGGCCGAGGCCAGCCCCCAGACGGAGCGCACCCAGGCCGAGGCCAGCCCCCAGGCGGAGCGCACCCAGGCCGAGACCAGGCCCAGCTCCCGCAAACTGGCCCGGAGGAGGCCACCCGCCAGCAGGAGCAGGGCCGACCCCCTGAGCAGTGTGGGGAAAAGGTACCTCCATCCTGCCGGCAGGGTGCGGGTGGGATGCTGACCGGGAGCAGAGGACTAAGACCATCCAGCACCTGCTGGGCCCAAGGGCCCCCTCCACGTATGGGCGTGGGTCCTGACTCCCGTGGGTGGCCCAGCTGAGGAGGGCTGCCTGTCCTGGGGGACCCTGCAGTGTCCTTAGGGAGGTGATGGGATACCCAGTGGGCTAGGCCATCTCCAGCCTGGCGTCAGTCTCGGGAGAAGAGCCAGCCCCAGCCCCTGCCCCTGCCCTAGCCCTAGCCCTGCTGCTTCGCCCCTCGCCCCCTCGCTTCTCCTGCTCCCCTCACTCCTCCGAGCCTTTGTGCTGTCTGCCGGGATGGGCGCTGGAGGCGGGAGCAGGGTCAGGGCGGCTCTGCACTCAGTAGGCCACTCTGGCCTGCAGCTCTGCCCCAGGAGGGATGCTGGCTCGCAGCTCTCTCAAGGCTCACTGAAGGGTTTTTTCCCGTGGCTCAGCTGCTTTCGGGGCACATCTTCAGTAGGATAATACCTAGGCATTTTGCACAGTTTAACCACCCGGGTACCACCATTGTCTCCACCAACTGGCTTTGTGACAGTCGCAAGAACCTTCTTTTTCTTTTCAATCCTGGATTTAGTGGCCGAGTGTTTCCTCTTGTACATGGCCTTCCTGGAATCCATTTTTTCCCATGGCTCAGCTGCTTTCGGGGCACATCTTCAGTAGGATAATACCTAGGCATTTTGCACAGTTTAACCACCCGGGTACCACCATTGTCTCCACCAACTGGCTTTGTGACAGTCGCAAGAACCTTCTTTTTCTTTTCAATCCTGGATTTAGTGGCCGAGTGTTTCCTCTTGTACATGGCCTTCCTGGAATCCATGGCAGACTGGGGGTGTATGCCGATGCCCCAGACTAGGACAGGCTTTGGCTGCAATGGGGCTTCCCCTTCTTGGTCTTTAGCCTTGGGGTCACCCTTTTTAACCTTGCCACTGGCATCAGCCTTCTTGGCTTCAGGTTTCGTGTGCAGGCGGTCCTGCTTTGCAGCCTTTTACCTGCCATCTTGTCCAGTGGGGAAGACTCCAATACGTGTTTTTGCTTATTTCTAAGTATTTCTTCTATGAGAAGGTTGAGAGACAGAGAGTATCCCTTGGGGTCTTCATGCAGTTGGCATGCAGCCTGCCTGGGCTCAGGGCACACGTGTACCAGTGTGGCAGGGTCCTAGGCGTGGCCTGTGTGGCCTAGCCACATGGCTGGCACACTGCCTGGGCCCGCTGCCAAGTCCTCCCAATGCAATCTCACC